ATCAGCAGACTATTGCACGGTGTGAGCCAGTGCAGAATGATGATATAATTATTGAAGATCTTATGCAATGCCATGATGTACTGCTAAGTACGTTTAGATCTCGTTTGACAAAGCTGCAGGTAACCTTTAGCTTATGATTTTATGTAGTTTGAGCTTATGTTTACACGTGTCACACAGATACTGGTTTCTGCATTCCTAGTTTTATCTTAATAGGATTTAACTCTTTAGAAATGCCAGTCTAATGTTGACAGCGTGGCATGGAATTCTTGTAGGAATTTGGAAGATCTTTTTGATTGATACTTATGATATACGAAAAACTGTGTGGTCCTGTAATGCTTGAAGCCTCTTACAAGTATAGTCTTTTAAACTTACAGGTAGTTCATCACTACTGGGAACGGAATGACATCAGGGGTGCTTTTGAGGGTTTGAGGAAGTTGTCAGATCATTCTGTGAGAATTTATTGAAACTTCTGTCATAGTGGTCTCTTCCCAAATATTATATTTGATAAATTCTCTAATGTATTTCTTAAATTTATTTCCTCTTGCAGGTGCAAGCTGATGTTGTGAGTGTCCTCGTAGATAAAATGGAGATTATCACTTTGGATTTGTTTTCCTTCTTGTTGCCTGTACTGTTGGCCTTGCTTGATACTAAGATAGAAAGGTAAGTAGTGATACAACTCACTGCTTGTTGCCTTTACTGTTTCCAGTTTGACATCCTTCAAATATGATCTAATAATACTGCTTTAATGATTACTGTGGTATACATGGCGATTATTTAATCTTTGATTATATATCATTACCAATCAAAGCTAGGGTGACTCTGGTTTCGAATTTCTGGAAAAATAACTATATTGGTTTTCCTTCTCCACCCTGTCTAACTAGAAGTTTTTGCAAACATGGTAATATATATAATCGAAAGGTTAGAACAGAAAAGAAGGAACAATACATATCTTGGCAAACCATGGCATTTTATTTAATCAGTTTTTAACATGGTGGTGAATTTTACTTGGTTCAATTGAAGCATAAGAGATAAAAGGGACTACCTCAGATGGTTTATTAGCTTTAAACAATTTATGGTTTTGTCTGTGTGGATGTGGGGGTTGCATTGCACACATTTATTTCATTGAATTCTGCTGTTAATTTTTATTTTATATTCTGATTGCACTGTTAAATTTTATAGTTATATTTTTTAAATTTCTTCTTCACATGTTGATTGCTTCTGTCTTTTTTTCTCTTCTACAGGCATGCAAATGTTTCCCTGGAGCTGTTGTTGAAACTTGTTGCAGTCTTTGGACCAGTAGTTCGCTCAGCCGTTTCAGCACGTCCATCTGTAGGGGTTGATCTTCATGCAGAAGCTAGGTAATGATGCTTATGTGGCTAAGCAGTTCACCTTTCGTTTATATGCTTGGATGCTGGTAAATACAAAACACTTACCTGTCTTTGATTTTGTACACTGTAAAACAGAATTAAGTGCTGCAGGCAGTGCTTTGCCTACCTCCAAGATATACAGAAAACACTTCCTGCACTTATAAGGTAACTAAGAATCTACTTTTTACTTTTCATAATTATGATTGTTGTCATGATTTTATTTTATGGGTGGTCCAACTCATCCTCTCTTTAGGATAGAGTTACTAGATTCCCAATAGAGCTTCAAAGTCAGAAAAATGGCAAGTATAGTGCCTCATTATGTTTGAGCCATCGATTAAGGTGTTGTAAGCATGCTTCATAGTCAGTGATGCACAACAAACTTCAAACCTATTAAGAAAATGAGAATCTTTTGGTTTTAACTTTCATTGGACAATTGTTATGATCAAAGAATGGTGGATTTGCTATCATTGTGATCTATCGTAAGTTTTGTATATTGAAATACGTTTAATCCTATCATGGTAGCTTAGTAACTGGTGAATCAAATTGTTCTGATACTTCATGATTAATGCTATCTGAATATGTTTGGTTTGTGGGTAGGACGTTCAAGGCTTGATATCTAATCAATAGGTCCATATTGAACTTTCAAAAATTTTAAAGTAGATGGATGCAACTTGTTGTCGAGTAGGATTTCCCTTTGATATCTTTACCTTCTTTTGTTTCTGTTAAAGAATGACAAAAGTCCCACATCGGTGGTTAATGAGATGGGTGGACTCCTTATAAGGCTTGGGCAATCCTCCTCCCTTTGAGCTAGCTTTTGGGTGTGAGTTAGGCCTAAGACCTAATTTAACAGTTTCATATCTAATGCAATCTAAAAAGTCAAAACTCCTTATGTCTTGATTTTGCTTGCTATCTCAATTTCGCTTACGTTCTGTTGTAGGAGAGGGGGTCTGCCGGCAAAAGGTGCAGTACAATTAAATCTCCTACTTCAAGAATCATAGTCCAGTTTATCATATATGCTTTTCCTAATGGCTAAAGCGAGACAACGGAATGGGAAGTTAGCTAATATACCATGTTCTCAAACTTATGTCTCTTTATGGACACCCACAATTTTGCTCCTCGGGTTTCCATCCTTGCTACCATTTTCACCAACCTTGTAACAGCGGAAAACTAGCAAGATGGAAATGCAGTGTCTGTCCTCCGCCACTGCAACTGGTTTGAGAGGCAAAGGTAAAATCTCTCGACATAATATGACCTTTTGTTGGAGAGTAGCATGGCTATCTTCATTCAGATACGCGGCTTGAACATATTCAAAGTTCCTGGCTGTATGTATCCATCCATATGTAAGTTGTGTACATGTATCTGCAATAGTAAAAAAATGGATGAGATGTGTACATCATTTGATCAATGAAACAGATATTCATACATACCCCCTTCTCTTGCTATCAGAACTCAAAATATTGAATTTTCTTCTCAAGTCACTATAAGCTTACAATGATAAGCTTAATTTTAAATTGCGACTAAGATGAATGTCATTATACAATAAGACTCCTTTTATGGAGTACATAGACCGTTTTCAAATGCATACGACACAAGATATTTACAATACTTTTGGAAATTTTATTAGGAAATAGAATTTATAAGCAACTTATTGATATTCAAAATGGCAAAAAGACTTGCATTTATAGTAAGAAAAATGAAACTAACCACCATTTTTTCCAACATAATAAGAAGGTACTATATAAAGCTATAACTAAAGTTGTTCACAAACTCTAATTACAAATGACGCCATGGAAAGTATTTTTCCTTTAATTTTCTTGCGCTTGATACGTAAGCAAAAATTATGGAATACCACATGTGAACATTTTTTTTTTACTTTTACTAGAAAAGTCATTTTCATCATCTCTAAAGAACTTGTTTTTCTGGAGATATTTTTGAAAATAAAATTCCTCTCAACCGAACACACCCTAACGTAGAAATTACGTTCACGTTATATGTTTCCTTCATCTGCTTTGTTCAATTAATTGGTTACACAAATGCTTGTCTTATGAGATTAAATCACGCAATTCCCTTCCTTTTTCATCTTTTTTTCTGGAATTACTTGAAGTTAGAAGGTAGAAAGGAATAAAAATTGATCAGTTTAAGCTATTAAAGTAAGTATTTAATTAAAATTAGAGAAAGGCACAATCATATGTCTGAATCAGTTAAAAAGTCAAAAATAGAAGGCACTTTATGTGAAAGGTATTTTAATCTTTTATATTGACCCTAAAACGACCTAGTCCAACTATATCGCTCTCACAGATTCTACTATGTTGGTTATTTTTTATTCTTCATGGAAGTTTGTTTATCATTGTTTATCGACTGATATCGTTACTAATAAATTTTATTTAGACATTTGAGCTATGACATAGTTTAATTGAGCACATAAAATACTTTCGGCTCAATTATAATTGTAATAATTTTTTTGCGCATGTTCTCAAGTGCTCATTATATAAATAAGTTACATCACTTAAAATATGTTGTTTCTCTTATTTATACGCATTACTCTTAATAATAAGTCGAAAAATCTCAGGCCTATTCCATTTGAGGCTAACGTGTATAACAAAAGTAGGCTATATATTTTATGTGGTTAAACTAGTAAAATTATCCGCGCTTCGCGCTGGAATTTAATATCACGAAATGTATAAAATAATACTTAAAACCTATCAGACATTAAAACTAAAACACTATATTATCTTGCTTACAAGATTACGTAGAAACATACATTAATAATGTAAAGGAAAATGAAAATTATTACATCGTATCATTTAACTTTAATAACATAAGCATAAATTATAAATTAATTATTGTAAAAATACATACCAGGACATAAACAATAGTGTCAGTGAGCCACTTAAAATGAGGAAAGTATACAAATATTTAATTGTGAAGAAGAAGAAGAAGAGGAGGAGGTTTAGAATTTTCGTTGTGTTAAAATGAGAGGAAATCCCTCTATTTATAGACAACAAATGGTAGTGTGAACAAATGTTTATTGTGCCTTATCATAAAGGTTACAACTATTTGAGAAAGTTGCAACCCTTTGGAAAGGTCACAACGTTTCATAAAAGTCATAACTTTTCATAAAAGTCGCAACTCTTTATTAAAATCGCAACTTTTCATAAAAGTCAAAACTCTTCATTAAAGTCACAATTCTTCATTAAAGTCGCAACTTTTCAGGAAAGGAAAGGGCTAATTTTATAAATAAATAAATTAAAAGGAAATTCTTATTTGTGATGGCGCCACATGTGTCTAAGGTTCTCTTTTAGATATATATATATATATGATAGATGATGATTATCAACATGATTAGCCATTAAGAATACATACAAAAGTTTTTTTCACAATCTAAATCAAAAAATATATAATAAAAATATTTTATCATGTCTTTAACTTGAACAAGTCATAATTCAAGTCATCGACCATTAATTTATTATAGTCAATCTTATTAATTGATGGTCATTCCAAGTCAGTCAACGTGTAAAAGGACTACGGGTCCATTCTGCATGTCAATTTCTTAAAATTAAGGGTCATTTTATATAATTAAAAATAACATTTTTAACCCCCAAAAATTAAGAAAAATGGCTTTTCACTGTTGGTTCATCCGCAGAGAGGGTGAGAGATATTTTCAGGTAAACCAAAATTCTCGATAATCAAAACACGAAATCTCCAATTCCCAAAATTACCGAAAAACAGTTATCATTGTTTTCTCCATTTTTTTCTCTTCCAGTCACCATTCTTCATCAATCATTTCTCCCCTAAATTCCCATTTCTTCAACTTTCTCACAAATCCGTCAACCCCTTTTCTCTCCTTTTTTTTTCTTCCCTAACAAAAAAATTAACAACCCAGAAAAAAATCAGAATTTTCCGTTTAGAAAATCATCTTTCCGGTGATGTTTCGGGGGTAGTTGCTAACGTGCGCCGTTACGGGACTTTTTTTAAAATTATCTGAGCCGTCCACGTGGAGGTTCTGGATTGTTCGAGACCGTTTAGGATGGAGACGGAAACAATGGGGAAGATGAATTGGGGTACGTGGGAAGAGCTAATACTTGGTAGCGCTGTTCGCCGGCATGGGACCAGAGATTGGAACGTCGTCGCATCGGAGCTCCGTGCCCGGACTTTATATCCTCACTGTTTTACCCCTGAGGTATATACTTATTTACAATTACGTGCCACTGTTTTATTTATTTTATGATAGAGACAACACTACTTTTTGTTTTAATTTTTTGGTCTGTTCGCAATCTCCCGTATTTTTCTTCCGTTATAAAAGAATTATTATTGTTCTTGTCGGATAGTTATTTATTTACTATTTGTTTATTCATTTATGCTTCTGCTTCTGCTTCTGCTTCGATTTCCTTATCAGACTGATTTTGTGGGGGCCATCTCATAGGATAAATAACTAAATAATCGAGTTAAAATTAAACAAATAAATTGAATTAACTTTATTTTAAAGCTGTGATTTTTTTTGAGACCGACAAAAAAAGAAAAGAATATTGTATTAATTGGACGGATGGAGTATTAAACAAAGACCCTTTCTTTTTGTTTTTGGATAAATAGTGAATTATTTGGTCTGTCCCTGGTACTAAAATTGAGTAGATAGAATTACAAATCGTATTACTGTTGAGTGTTGAGGTGGAGGGGTGGCCAGTTAAGTATGTGGCAGGAGGAGTTTGGTTGGTAGACTGTCAAAGTGGACCAGAATCTTAAGCTTTTGGTGTAATGGGGCCAGCCAAAACTTTTGTCCTTATTGATGAATGAACATGTGGATGCCATGTAGAGTGGTGAACCAATGAAAAATGGGATCTTTTTTGTAGTGGTTTAATGCATTTTATATGTCAGTGTTTCTTGGTTCCTTTATGTTTTTGCCTTTGACTATGTGGTGATCTTGTGGTGGATGAATATTTGATAAGACAACTCTTGATGATAAAGTATATCTGTACTATGTTTTCTGAATAAAGTTGTTAGCTTTATAGCTGTCTTGATCGGACCCTCTACGAATGTTGTTGTACTCGAGTCTAATATGAGCTTTATTTTTAAAGATTCCTAGTAACTTAGCATTATAGAAACTTGATATTGATAAATAAGGTCTTGACTAGTATTGGTTGTTAGGCTTTTAATTCTCCCCCAGTCTGCGAAATTATTGCCTTTCTTTTTCTCATTACTCTTGATCAGTTGATATTAGAGTAGAATTGTTCTGCAAGAGATGTGATTGATTGAGACATGAAAGGCTCTTTGACCATCTTGACAAAATTCTTTGTGGAGTAATGGAGTTGTAAAATCAAAATTTTAATACGAGAAAAGCTGATCACAAATCTCTGAAGCGTAGCTTGTAATGCTTTGTCACTTTCTAATGATAGAGATGGACAAATAAGGACTGCAAGATTTCTCTGATGCGAAGGAGTAGATTGTAGCATTTACTTACTTAGAATATTTGATATTGAGGACCATAGACATCATAAGATCATTGGTTCTCAGTCATAATTTTTTCACATGTTGTTGGTTTTTGGATGCAACTTGTTGTAAAATGAGATATGTTGTGTCTTGGCACTTTTGAGTAGTGTGAATAGCAAGAGTTTAGGATAATAAATATCTTGCTAACTATGTAAATGCACTAACCAGAGATAAGGGAACCAGTGGCGGAGCCAGAATTTTTAATTAGGGGGTTCAAAATCTGAAGAATTAAACACACGAAGTAGCCTAAGGGGGTTCGACATCTACTATATATACATAAAAAAATATTTTAACCATGTAAAAACAATATAATTTTCCTCCGAAGGGGGTCGGATGACCCCCCTAAAGATAGGGTGGCTCCGCCACTGAAGGGAACCATGAGGTATACTAATTTAATTCAGGATTGTAGTGCTCTGCTGACTTATGACTAGCCAATGCATTTTGTGTAGCAGATTAACTTCAATGCTTTTTCTTGACTTCGTGTTTTCTATGCTTAAGTTTGCCTACCTTTAACCATACTCTACGATATGCTAATTTGAGTCATCGACAAATAACTTCAATTGCAGGCCTGCAAAGCCAGGTATGAGGAGTTACGTAAGCGCTACTCTGGATGCACGTGAGTGAAGTTCTTCGATATCATGACCTTATTTGTTTATTAATGAGTTAGTTACCATGGAAGTTATGGTTTCTGACATATGACACATGTATGATTTTTATTTCCATCTAGTGTATGGAGTACACAGTTCACTGCGCTATTTTATCTTGCCTTCAACTTTGGAATGAATTCATGGTTTCCATTAGTTACTGTGAATCGAGTATAATAGGATGTCATCCTTGCCCTAACCAGTGTCTTACTTATATAACCTTCTTTTGGCCAGTGCTTTGTTTGAAGAGTTGCGGAAGCGACGAGTGGAAGAATTGAAGCGGGAATTGGTGAGATCCGAGAGCTCCATTGGGTTAGTAAATATGTTTCTTCCTGTTTTAAGTTGATAAGCAAACACTAGCTAATAAATCATGTCATTAATGAATCTGATGTTTTGCCACTTTTTCATGCATCTGAATGGTATAAAAATCCTGTCTCATTACATTACTACTGCCTCAAGTCTCTGGTTCCCTTGGTTACCTGTTTCCTTAGAGTAACTCTGTGATTCCCATATTTTATCTCGATGCTCATTGTCAGGTCTCTTGAGTCAAAGATTGAAAGGCTACAGGCTGAGAGAGAGCGATCTGATCAGATCCACAGTTTGAGTCGCACTGAATCTCCTGCTCCTCTGACAAAATCAGAAGATATTGAGTCTTCTGTGAAAGAAGAAGCAAAGGATGGGTTGTCTGCTGGCAGCTTCACGCTTGATATTAGAACAGACGCGACCCCTGAGTCTCAGGTTCCCACCATACCCTCAGCTACAGAGACAGTCGTGAAGCTAGAACTTTCAGAGTCTTGGGGACGGGACAAAGCTCCAAGTACAAGCAAGGTTCCAGAGTCTGCCAATGGAAATGGTGGGGCTGTGAGGAAGAGAAGAGGCAAGAGGAGAAGAAAAGACACGGTTTGGGATGCCAAAGAAGGGAGCATTGAGGACAGTGACAATGTATGTTCAACGAGTCTCGCCTCCACTTCTCACTGTAAAGAAGTACTAACCAGTTGTGATCAGAGTATTAGGCGTTCTGCTGCAAGTGATCATATAGTAGGTATATCTAGGTTTAGGAACGATGACTTGATGAAGATTTTCAATTCTATTACACAGCATGAAGCTGCTATGGTCTTCAGGCATCGTCTTGATAGTCAGAAGAGAGCAAGATACAAGAAAATGATAAGGCGTCATATGGATATCGAAACAGCAAGATCAAGACTAGCCAACTGGTCCATCAAAACACCAGGTGAACTCTTCAGAGATTTCCTTTTACTAGCCAACAATGCCATGGTATTTTACTCAAAGAGAACGAGAGAATACAAAGCAGCAATGGCCCTAAGAGACATAGTCACTAGAGCCTATCGGGAACATTACAAAGGCTCTTACCACAAAGCTACATCATCACACCTTCCATTGCCAATAATTGGTAATCCACCTGGGAAGCCACGAAGTGTTCGCCCTCGTCCTTCCAAAGACAAACTTCAAGCCAAGTATAGCAACAACATCATTGCTGGAACACTAGGAAGACAGAATCATAGACTTGGTGATGCTGCTGATTCTAAGGTACCATTGCAAAATCCCTTATCAGCTAAGAAGGGCTTCAAGAGGCCCGGAAAAATCAAGTGTGGATTGACTACCGAGACTGTCAATCCACAAAGTAAAGTACAAGCTAAGGAATCCTCACAACATAATATTAAGGTTAAAAAGGAGCATCGAGTTAAGCCTGTGACCAAAGAGAGGAAGAGGGCTCGGCAAAAGTGATTTGCTGATTCCATGATCCTTGGTGTTCACTTACTTTTTGGTATAGAAATTTTCTGTGTATCATAATTCAATTTTGGGTTGCCATTTTGATCTAGGCTTCATCTTGATACAGGAGAAATGCAGGTGTAATATAATACTAATCAAGTTGTGGATAATTAACTCCAAAATTATAGAATTGTTCCTGAACTATCTCTTCATCAGGCCCAACTATATTATGGATAAAAAGGTCTTGTAAAATAAGAAGCCCAATGGTTGGACCCAATAATTGTGTTGTTATGGTTGTGCCTTATGTGACAGGCTCAACTCAAAAGACATTGAGACGAGGATCGATTCTGTGTCATCCGTGTGGATAACCACCCTTCAAGTTAACTAAGCCATCCCGAAGGACATTCTTTTGCAGTTTTGTCCATATTATATGTTGCTCTTTAATTTATGCTCCTCGTTACAAATAATTTTTTCACGGGCATACGTTTATATTTTCATATCATAATGATCAACAAATTATGTCTGAATGCAAACTTCAATTTCTAAAGAACTTATGTCCTATTATGCATAAGTTCAATTGCAAAATGAGAAAAATAAAAAACCAGATCACTATCACCACATGATATTATTTCTTCCTCTAATTTAACCATATATTGTAGTTAGCCTAATCAATAAACAAGTCAAGATCAACTTACACATAGTTAATTAACTAATTGTTGATCAATAAAATAGATAAATAAATAATTAAGCCAATAGACAGTGGACAAAACTCCTTATGCATAATGATTAACTGATTGGTGACAAAGAATAAGGAATAAGTTACTAATATTTTAAAAAAGGTTCCATTGGTTAACTAGTTCCACTTCCACATGTCAAGATCAACTTATAGTTTAGATCTTAAAATTATTTTTTAATGCAACATTGTGTCTCAAAAAGGGTTTGCACATATTTGGTAAAAACACTTACCTTCCCCAAATGCTTACATTTTTTTTTTAAACACTTACCTACCCCAAATGCTTACATTTTTTTTTAATAAAAAATGCTTACATTAAATTAATAGACATGTAACATGTGTTTGCATGTAATTCTCTTTATCATTTATATAGTTTTGACTTATCAAATCACTTGACTATACCAAGCTCATGTTGTTTGATATAAATAATAAAAAAATATTTATATTCAATTGATGAAAAATGGGATTTGAGAGGAGCTGAAAGTGTTTATATTAGATTATATTAATTTATCATCATTATTATTTATTATAGTGAAAATATGTGTTAGTAAATTGTGGTTTAGTATTAAGAGTATATATGAAAACCGGTCATTGGAAGCAAAGATCTTTCACCGAGTAAATTTTGTATATATTAATATAAATTTGGAGTAGTTTTTGTTGAAACCAAGTTAAGATAAAATAGGGACCATTTGAACAATATAGAAAACAGCCACCTAAACAATTTGTTTTTCCATATGAATAATATTACTAATATAATTATTCTTCATAGGGTTAGTACTCTAATCTTTATCTAATCCTAGGAGAACACACTTTGCCTCTTCTTTTTTTCCACTCCCCTTGACCATAATTACTTCCCTTTCTTTATTTTGACTGTATCACATGGTTTAACATAAAATAGTCAATTTACGCTTTTTTTTTTCCTTCAATTTAATCATCTTGTATTCAATATTTACTGATCTAATTAATTCGAATTTAAATTGAATAAGTTATTTTTTGTGATTTGAATTGGAACATCTTCGCGATTTATAACGATTTATTCTTTTACACGTGACTTCACTTAGGTGATCCAACAATTTCTTAGTGCTAATTGTTATAGGGGTGTCAACTACTTCATGAAATCATCAATTCACATTAATAAATAAATAATTAGAGAAATAAACCTGCCACACGATACCATAGATAATTAATAATATTAGTAATAAAAAGCTTCCCTTAATTATATGGTACTTAGTTTAAATTATAAAGGAAAAAATATGTCAGAGATCAACCTAACTTTAGATCTTCATTTATTTTTTTTAATGTAAGATATGGGACTTAAAATATGTTGCTACATAGGTGGAGAGATTATATATTAATTTATTGAGAAAAAAAATACTTGGATTTAAAATATTGGGTGTATTTATTGGAGATGAATTGATTTTATTTTATTGACGACAAGGAGTTAATTCTCTCACTTTTTCCCATAATTTTTTTAAAAAAAAAACATTAAAAAAATTGAGGCACATATAACGGAAATATTATTAAACAAGCAAAATAAAATAATATAAAAGTACCCTCCAAACCTAGGATTTTGTTAGCTGTAAAAACAGGATGTTCTTTACTTGATCGACACTAAGGTGCGATTTCTACGTCGATTTTAATAAATAACTAAATAATATAAACTTTGTTTGCTGTAAAAAGGACGTTCTTGATTTTATTAAATAATACTTATGTGTGATCTTCAAAAACTAAGGTGGATTGTTATATTAAGTATTTGATATAAAAAAATCCTATTATGTTCAATATTTACTTTGAAACTTGATTAATTCAAATTCATTTTAAAAAGTTTCATTTTGAAATAAAATGTTTCTTATCAAAGTACTTAAAGGTTAATTATGCTTATTTTGATATTACTTAAAACTAAAATTTATCCATAATTGAAGAATTAAAGTATTTATTGACCCATCTCCACCCCACACCCCCACCAAAAAAAGAAGATAAACCTAACCTAATAGTACCAAATATTAGGTAGGTAGTTCAAATAATAATTTTAAGAAACCAAAAAAAAAAAAAAAAAAAAAAAAAACAAGGGTGTTATTAGGTCAAATAATTGCAAAGGAAAAGAAAAACCAAATAAATCTTTGTTCCGACCAAAATCTCAAAAGCCTTGTTAATATACTTTTTCCTCACTTTTCTCATGTGAACACCCCCCACCCCAAACAATGAAAAAAACAAGAAATTAAATAATAGGGCCTATAGAATAAATAAGGAGAAAAAGAAAGAAAGAAAGAATAAAAATATTCAATCTCACAAATAGTATTGGTAGTATTGGTCTCATATTAAGTAGGCGTGGATATGTAATTTTATATCGCGATATAAAATCATGAAATGAAATCAGCTTTTGGACATATGGTTTCACGCTGATTTAATCCCTAATTCTCTAAAAATCATGATTTGAGATTTTTCAAATACAAAAATTGACCCACAAGTTTATATTTTGAAAAAATAATCCCACATTTATATCTACTAACCATTTATTTTATATGTAAAAAAAAATTATAATTCATATCATTATTGTTTAAACCATTCATATCTCATATAATGATTATTCTCACTAACATAAAATTTATTAGTACTTCAAATCAATTTCTACTTTACCATTTATATTCATCAAATTCATTATTTTTTTTATCAAATTTATTTATCAATCAAATTAACCAAAAAATTCTAAAAGTAACAATGTTTGTTCGTCTTCTATATCATGTGAACGAGAAATGCAAGCTTAACGTGAGATTATTGTACGTACTATGTGAGGGGATTATATTAAAGATTAGTACACCACAATTTATGTTTAATTTTATTTTTTATCGAATTAAAGTTTGATCAATAAATATTATAGTTTTAAAGAATATCTTTGTGATTGTGTATTATGTAATTTTATACACTTTTGCTTATTTAGTAAGACTGTATAAAAAATTAAAATAATTTTAATAGTTTTACAACTTATGAGTTTTATGTTTATGAGAAAACATGTAACATAAAAAGTTCAAATCGTATATCTGAATAAAACTTCAACTTCATTTTATAATTTTAAATCATGATTTCATATCGCACGGTCAAACGGACCTAAAAATAACATCAAAATAGCTAGCATCATGAAAAGTCACAAGTATTGTACATGTGCACCCACACGCCTTCAATTTCAATTCACATGTTTTATGTATAGCTAGCTAGATTCTACTAATCTTTTTTATTCCTTTTCCTTAATTTCATATTTCACTTATATACTAGTCACGCCATTTTCACTTAATGCAAGGTTGAACTTGTAAATATTATTATTATTATTATTATTATTATTAATAGAACCATTTTTTGTGATAATAATAATACAATAACGTATCTGTATAAGTCAAAAAGTGACTTTATTATTAACGCGAAAATTCAATTGGATATTTACTAATTAAGATGAAGGAGAAAATACTATGTAGCTATAATCTTACAAAATACAATACATTATCAATTTTAGTGACAGACCTTTCACTATCTTTTTTTTATTTTTTATCAATTCTTTAATCATGACCAGCACAAAATTAGAAGACAAAAAACTTTTTTTGTTTGTTTTTTGTTGCAATCATTTAAAGTTGAATGTCAATACAAATTAGGTGGATAAATTACCAAATCCAAGACAATATAGTAGTTTTCTTCTGGACCCCAAAAAATGTAAAATGTTCCAAAAGAAGGCATATTTTGCCAAATTGTTGAAATTATTCACAAAAATAACTAAGAAGCCAAAAATGTTATTCTTTTTTCAAGAGCTCTGTCTACCTAAGTACTACTTAAATTCAAACTATAAGCAATCATCAATGTAAAGTTCCACTCACCTTATATGAAGATGATTTATTCGAAATCAATAATCATAAAAAATACTTTGAATTATTATTTTTTTCGCGAGTTTTATATTTGATTATCAATTATTCTCTTTTATTAAAACAAAAAAGAGAGCAACTAATTGTTAGTCTAATCAATTTTAAAGTGGAAAACTTGTCGAAAAAGTGATAGTTCATATTTTTAACCATTAACTCTTTTAGAGATTTAATATATGGTCGTTTTTTTAAAAATAAGATATTATTCGAACTAAATAAATGTATTAAAAGCGCACTAATCAGCTGCCCTCATCGAACACACCGACACATACTAATGCGATTAACACGTTTCTTAAAAATATTATTAAAAAAATATATTTAAAAAAATATTTATATTAGGTAGAAGTTGGCAAACAAAAACAAAAACATATATATATATATATATATATATATATATATATTAATTTTCAAAAAATGCACTTTTCAACCAAAAAATATTTATATTAGGTAGAAGTTGGCAAACAAAAACAAAAACGTACACACACACACACACACACACATATATATATATATATATATATATATATATATATATATATATATATAATTTTCAAAAAATGCACTTTTCAACGAAAAAAATATTTCTTTTCCGAGTAAAATTTAACGGCAAGTTTGGTAAATTAATTGAACTTAACAA